TTTTTTTTTTTTTTTTTTTTTTGACAAAGTTAAAAAATATCTGGTGTGTACCTGTTGTTAGATTTCAAAGGGTGTCAGGTGTATGCAGACTGGGAAGTACAGCACAGGTACTTAGGCACATAACTGCTGGCAGGGCTGGAGAGGAGTGCCCATGAAGTGCCTCTATCGTATAACGTGACATGGCAGATGACAGCAAGGTGACATTTAGATTGGATATTAGGAAAAACTCTCATGAGGAGGGCAGTGAAGCACTGGAATAGGCTACCTAGAGAAGTTGCGGACTCTCCATCCTTGGAGGCTTTGAAGACCTGGCTAGACAAAGCCTTGGCTGGGGTGATGTAGTTGGGGCTGATCCTGCTTGGAACAGGGGGTTGGACTAGATGTGACCTCCTGAGGTCCGTTCCAGCCCTCATTTTCTCTGATTTCTCTGTGCGTTAATGAAGTTAGCCTCCCAGACCCCTCGGTGAGTTCTTACTGGCATTGAGATCTGAGACTGTCAAAACACTCCCCCATGTGATACCGAACCACTGTTCCAGGTGTTGCCAGCTCTGTTCTCTTCCATGGCACAGCTGGCCTGCAGTGCAGACTTGGTTGCTTTGGGAGCAGAGGTGTGAGGGGCCCTTGGATGCTCTGCTGTGCACAGCTGAGGAGGAAGCAGATGGCGGTAAAAGTATCACTAAGGTAGGGAAGGAAGAAAGGAGCCTGCTATATGAGCCACAAAACCCTGGCTGTTTTGCCACATGTCTGAGACATGCTGCCTAGGAGCACTGCAGAGCCAGCATGTTCAGCTTATAACTGGGGGGAGCCAATTTTGCACCATGTCACCGTGATCCCTGCAGCTGAGTATGGGGCAGTGCTGTTGTCTAGTCCTCCGCTAGAAGGGTGGTGGCCTGAAGAAGTGGCTGAAGTGGGAGAAGTCAAAGCTGGAGTACTGGTAGGATCTGGCAAGGCTGCCTAGAGGATCAGAGAGAGAGAGAGAGGATTTTTTTTTAGGGAAAACAGGATGCTGCAGCTACAGACATCTAGACAGGTTCACTGGAAACTCTGGCTAATTGGAAATGAAACCATTTGGCGTTAGAGGCCTTGAGCCCTCTGCTTTGTCATTCTGGCTTCCACAGGAGATGTCATTCGGAGAGAAATGGATTTGTAGCAGCCGGACAGCCTCTCAGAAGTCACATGTCACAGCTCGCTAACCATTTTCATTGCCTTCCTCTGGTAGCGGGGGGCCCAAAACTGGACATGGGACTCCAGATGTGGCCTCACCAATGCAGAGTCAAAGAGAAGAATCACTTCTCTCCATCTGCTGGCAATGCTTGTACCAATGCAGCCCAGTATGCCATTAGCTGCCTTGGCAAGAAGGGCACAGTAAGCTCTAGGTTGCTTTCTGCAGAGCTGCTGCCTAGCTAGTTGGTCCCAAGCTTGTGCCAATGCATGGGATTTTTCTGTCCTAAGTGCAGGACTTTGCACTTGTCCTTACTGAACCTCATGAGATTTCTTTTGGTCCAGTCCTCCAATTTGTCAAGGTCTTTCTGAATCCTGGCCCTACCCTCCAGCATATCCAATACTCCCCCCCCCAGCTTGGTGTCACGTGCCAACTTGCTGAGGGTGCACTGCATCCCATCTTTCAGGTCGCTGATGAAGATGTTGAACAAAACCGGCCCCGGGGCCAACCCCTGGGGCACTCCACTTGTTACCACCTGCCACCTAGGCATTCAGCCATCGATTACTACCCTTTGAGCCCAGCAATCCAGCCAGTTTACTGTCCACCTTACAGTCCATTCATCCAACCCAGACTTCCTTAGCTCACTTGCAAGAATGCTGTGGGAGACTCTATCAAAAGCCTTGCTAAAGTCAAGCTGTATCCCACCCACTGCTCTTTCAGTCATTGCATCATAACAGGTGATCAGGTTGGTCAGGCATGATTTGCCCTTGGTGAATCCATGCTGATTGTTTCTAATCACCTTCTTCTCCAAGTACTTAGAAATGGATTCCTTGAGGACCTGCTCCATGATTTTTCCAGGGACCCGAGGTGAGGCTGACTGGTCTGTAGTTCCCCAACATCTCCTTTTTCCCTTTCTTAAAG